AGTCGGTGCGCAAGACCACGGGACCGAAACCATTAGCCGTACTTTCCGACGTGGGCCGCTTGTGCCGAACGAAAACTGATTCCAAGCTCGACGCCAAGATAGTCGAACATACTCACGGGAATGTTATGGTGTGTTCAGGAAAGCCCCCGGAAATCTCACAGCAGATGTGGATGGCGCGCGCAGCTCAAAGCGGGAGGTCGGGCAGAATTCTGCTATGTTCGGCTATGTCCAATCATTCCATTGAATGGATTCCTGAACTGGTTCCTTCTAGGTATCCCCTGCAAACTAAAAAATGATAGAAGAAGGGTTCCACATTTTGCCTGGAGCATTGTTTGCTTCTGCTTTCATGATTCTGTGACACCTGCCGCCATCTGTCTCGACTCCTGCTTCCTGGTTCCTGATTTGAGTTCTTGTTGCTTTTGTTGCTTTTGCTTTCTTCATCTTTCTTTTCCATCGTGGCTTCTGAGCCGTCAGTTTCACTGGCAATGCTCAGGACGTCTTGGCTTTGCGTTCAGATTACTGCGTTGCACATGTTGAATGTGCGAGAACAAACAAGAGATACCAAAAGCAGTGATAAGTAAACTCACTTCGACTGCTTGAGACGTTACTCATGTTCGCCGAGGGACCAGGCCTCTTGCGCTTGGGGAGAAAGAACAACCCAACTTCTTTCTCAGCTGTCCACCCCAGCCTTTGGTCCGCTTTTCCCTCTTGCATAGACAGCCCTTCCGGCTTCTTCCGTTGGAACCCGACGCAACCATCCTCCTTTCCTTTTGAGTTTTGGGTGGGGGGCCCTAAACTGCTCATGGGCCCCTATGCACACCTGACATATCCTGACATCGTGGACCCCGCACAGAGAGCTTTCCGTGGTTCTATGCTTGTGCGCCTTCTCATGAGCAAAAGCTGTGGCCCTCGGCCCTCTTCACCGTCGCCTGAGAAGTCCAGCTGACGTGGCCACGCCGAGGCGTGGAGCGCGTGAGCGCTGATACTGTCGGTTCCAGTGTGGTGCTGTCGGCGCTTGGTGTTCCAGTGCTGCTTGCGCTGTGTTGTACCAGTAAATACCAGTAACGCACTGTAACTGGCTGCCATGGGCTTTTGGGGGGGAACGGCCTCGCCTACTTGTGCGGGTACTCGACCTCATCTGCTGGTTTGCCTGGCCGATGCTTCAAGCACTGTACACCAGTTCTGCAAATTTGTGAAAAAAAAAAACGTCACATCCCACACTGAGTTCCAGCACCTTGTGACTCAGGCCCTGCGCTGCCTGAGCTTGCACCACGGACTGCCGCCGGCCGCCGTGCCTCTTGCAGAGAGCATCTCGGAGAGCACGAAAATGCGAAAAGAAGGAACATGCACACTCAAAAAGATTTAAAGTAAGTACTTCTCTTTCGCTTTGTGCTCCGGGGCCGGAGCGTAAGCATCACCGACGGCTCAGACTCGGAAGATGTGTCGTCACGTTCGCCATTGTTGCCATGTTCGCCACAACTGTCATGGAGTCATGTAGATTATTGCACCACATGCCGCATGTGCCGCATGATGCAGAGCAACCATGACACCACGACATCCCGCGACACGCCATTTTGAAAATGCTGCACCCTGGCCATCCCCTGCGGCAACATAATTAGCCTGCGTCAGAGACGCACATAGATCCCCGAACACAACGTGCCTGTGGTTGTGGTGAAACAGAAAGGGAAAAGAGGAGCTTTTTTGGAGGCTCCAGAAGGTACTGCCCCTCACTTGGCACCTAAGGTGTGCCCCAAATCACTGCCGAAGACAAGAAGGAAAGGAGACCAAAGAACTTGTCAAGTCAAAGTGCGGGTACGCTTCACCACCATGATCTGGGTCTCGACCACACGATCCTTCGTCTCGACTCGCTGCCGCTTCCTACACTGGCTGATTCAGATTGATTCAGGCACTACTGCGGCTCTCGGCCTAGCTCAATCTCTCGCATTAGCATGCCAGCATCATCAGGTCTATCAGGCCTGGTCACGCTAGTGGTCAGTGTCTTTCCTGCTTTGGAGCAATGCACCTTGCATTTCAAACGCAGGTCGACAAACTCCCCACCTTCGAGGCTCTAAGACAAAGGCCGTCTGCCGCAGTGTTTCACTTTGATGGCTCTTCTTGGCGTCGGATGGTCGAAGAGCACTCTTGGACTGCGCTGCCTGGGCTGTGCTTCCACATGAGAATGAATAAAGACTTGAAGAGGTCCCTGACCGGATGAACCACGCAATCCACCCAACGGCCCGACGCGGTCGCCGCACAGCGGATATCCCCTGACCCGCCCCCTTGGCCCATTTCCCAAGCCCACACAGCCACGAGCAGTGTGGGCCGGATTCGAGACTGTTAGCGCGGCTGGCGCTGCCCTCGCTGGCAACTTTGCGCGTTTCGGCTGCTGTTTTTGCCGACCCATGTGGCGACTGCTGACCTCACCGTGGCATGTTTTTGAAGTTAACCGGCAGCCGAGACTCTGTGAGAAGCTTGACTCGCTGGCTTTGTGGCCTTTGCCTGGGTATGCAGGAAACCAGCCTCGCACGTGCTTTTGCAGATCAGCCTGAATCCAGACAGTCCATCGTATTCGATCTGAGGCGCTTCCCATTTAGTCTTTTGCGCGGAGCATGTTGGCCACGCTCCTTCCAGGCTGCTTTAGGGTCATTTCCAACTCAGCCCACATACGTCCACATCCTGAGACCAAAAAGAGAAAACATCCGAATCAGATGATTCCAGGAGGACGACGACGAAGAATGGCCGACAAGGGTAGAATGTGATGCGACAAAAATTTGTGCAGCGTAAAGACTGGAAGGAGCAGCTCGACTCTAGAGAAACCACCGCAGTGTTGCTTCGCTTTTTCACGTCCTCCATTTACGAACACTCTTGTACGTGTGAATCGTTTGAAATGAACCAAAACACTAACATACAGCACGTACAATAAACAATTGCCTCATCCGCCTGCAGCGGACTTTCTTGCTTCCACGTCCAACCAGCATGACCGACACAGGTGCACTGAAACATCAATCTAGACATGTGTGGCTTCTTGATGCAGCCTCCTGACCGGCGCATTCATGCCGGACTAGCGCATCCTAGTTACCCTAGTTCAGCTGCGAATTCGAAATCTCTAACTTGAAGACGTGGATATTGGAAAGCACGGATGACAAATTATGACAAGTTGGGGAGGTACAGAACCGGGAAATGCATGATCATTCTCATCCGGAAAATGCAAGCAAAGTGAATCTGAAACTGTCAAGATGAGTAAAGATTGCAAACAGTCGGAAACATGGCAGCTCGCCGTGACGGCGACCCCTGGTCTTCTGTGTCTTGCGTTTTCTGTCTTGTCTTCGTGCGGTGCCAGTAACTTCTTTGAAGCCTTCCTTAAGAGAGCGACTGCTCTGCTCGCCAGGCCTCTGGGCCTGCGCCTCTCTCGGTCGGTCACACCACCGAGGTGTGGCAGCTTCCGTGCTCTGAAGTCCTAAGCCAGCCGAGGCGTGTGGAGTCGGATTCTTGAGGCGCTTGCACCTTCCCACCCCCCTCCCTGTCGGCGGCCGAGTCTTTTTTGCCCGGAATGGGTACCCCCCCCCCCCCCCCCCCTAGCAATCAGGCGCGCACCGTGCCGGCCAACCCCCCCCTCCACCCCCCGCCCACCCTACAACCTTCCCCAACCCCGCCCTACCCTTCAACCCCCTCGCTAAAGCATCTGGGCCCTTGCCGAGGCGGCCTGGCAGTAGCGATTCAATGGGCTGTGCCTCTAGACCACATCACGGCACAAAGCCGGGGTCAAGACACAGTCTCAAAATAGATGGAACACATCACCTGAATCTCTAGACACACGTAAACTGTACACAGGTGGCAAAAAACAGTTTTAGGGAGAATCTTGTACTCGGACTCGGATAGCAACAACGTATGATTTGGCCCTGATCTCCTACCTACTTTGCATCTTACTGCAAAGCTCCTGGTCCCAACCCCTGCGGATGTTACAATCACAATCCAAGCGACCATTTCGTGCGCGATACTTCGTGAATGCATTCACGCAACAGCGAGCGTGACTGTGATGTCCTGCAGAGCAGAAGCAGCAGCGCGGGGTGCCTCGCATCGGTTAGGTTGGCATTGGTCGGCATCGCGTGTCATCATGCGGCATGGAGCTGAAGGCGTGTTTTGAGATGGCTTAGGGCCTCCCAAACGACCAATGATCTGGAGCTTGGCGAAGATTTCTCCACTTCGACGGTGCCAACATCTGAGCAGGATCCCAAGGCCTCGAGGGATTGACTTATGTCTGAGAGTCCCATGGAGGAGGCTCCACCCGTGCACCCACAACGGCACTTTGGCGGCTTCCTTCTTGAGCTGCACAGGACTGTGACTTGGGAAGGTCCAAGATTTGAGCTTTGGATCCTGCCAGCCGGTCAGGATTAAACACTGTGGCGTGTCAGCTTGTGTCAACTTGTGTCAGCTCAGCAGATGACCCACACTCCGCCCTCACGTCGGAGGAACGCCTGCACATATCTCATATAATCTGGGAGGACCGGCTACAGTACATGAGGGGCTTCAAGCTGGTAGAACACAAGATGTGACGATGCGACCTTGACCGGAAAGGTTTCACCTCCAGATCTCTGCACACTCACCAAAAACAACATGGGCACGTTGCCGCGCTGGAAGCCCACACACACACAGACAGCAACACGGCGCACCTCTCACAGAGGAGCCATGATCCGATGCGCTGATGACTAGACGCACCTCCATACACATGTGCACTCTGGACTTCTCACGGTCATGAACTGGACCCGAAAAGGACTGGCCGCCTTTTGTCCTTCTGTGCTGCATGTGATTTCGGAAGGTACGGCGAATTTGTGAGGAGCCCTTACTCCTGCACACCTTCAAAGCGACGGGTGATACCTGCCATGCGAGACCGCTTCAAATAAGCGCGTCAACGCAAGACAAGCCGGAAGATGCTGATCAAAAGCAGCCAGGCGAAAGCTATGCAGGGACAGCACTGAGTACTGAGACCATGACCATTGCAATCAAGCCTGGCCCTCCACTTTATCAGAGTGGTAGCCACTTGCAATCTTGGCATCAAGCTCGACCCGCATGCTGTCCTTGATGTAGTTCTCGGGAAGGTCCACTCTCTTCATGACCTGGATGCCAGCGCCAGTGATTGCCTCGTACTTCTCATTGCTCATGGAACAAAGAAGGTCGATTCGTCGGATCCCCATCCAATTCAAGGCATCCGGCATCATAGTTTGGAATCTGGCATCTCGGATACCTGCGATGGCCTCGGTGTGGTGGAAGTACATCTCTGGGCGGTCACCGCCGTCTTGATTCACACGAGCGTTGTACACCCGGAACTTGATCACCTCACCAAGGCTTCGTCCCTCTTTCCTGTAGTAGATGACGACACCGACCCCACCCCGCTGGGCACATTCGACAGCCTCGCGCAATGCAAATATGAGGTATGGCCGGCAGCTGCAAATGTCACTCCCGAAGACATCGGAACCTATGCACTCGTCATGCACACGTACGCAAACCTCTGTCTTCTCATCTTTGAGTTTTCGTGCATCACCGAAGGTGTAGATAGTGAGACCGCCAACGGCTGGAAGGTAGGTTTTCACCTTGGGGTCCAGCAACCGGCTGTCGTGGGAGAACTTGTGCAGTGCCTCGCGCAGCTCTTGCTCACTAAGGCCCACCCTGTCCGCCAGGAGTGGAATGTTCCAGGCATAGCTTATTGCACACTTCGAGGTGACGATCTCGTTCGAGGGCAGAACAATTGTGCCGTCCATTCGCAAGTCCTGACAGATTGAGCCATGATTGAGCAGGAAAGGTTTGAGCTACCAGCAACACAACACCACCTCTGCCACAGAGACTAGCGGCCGTCACCGACACAGTCACCATCAGCGCCACCACCACCACCACCACCACCACCACCACCCGACCTGCCCGTAAAGACCCGCCCGAGCATGCGCCCTTGCGCATGATTGCTACTGGGACCCTTTGGTCTGATCTGTTTGGGCCACCAGTGGCCAAAGTGCTGGCTTGAGAAGTACTCGAGGCGCTGCAACAAAGCTACCAGCAGTTACTAGCAGCTCAACACCTCTGAACAGAAAGCACCGTTGCCTCTTTTGGAACTCACTTGAAATCAAAAATCATGTCTCACACCTTCCAGACGCAAGCTCATCTGGGCTGTGCTAACTGCGAAGCCAGCCACGGAGGCCTGTCAAATATAGAGGCCCGGAAGATGAATCCGAACCCGAAGCTCTCTAGCTTGTTATAACTGTTAAGCAGTGTGAGGAGCCCGATAAAAAACAAGGCGAGGCCCCTGAAATGGTGGTCGGATGGCTCCGCCTCAACTCCTTCTACGATGGAGAGCGAACTTGAGAGCAGGGCCCCGAAGGGGGCACACCAGGGCTGACCACTGCAATTGCCACAGCTTCAAGGGCCCTCCCGCGTGACCTTCTGAGATATCAAGCCAAAGGTGCCCCCAAGTCTTGCTTGGCCCAAGACTCGAAGGACCACGTACTGTGCATGAAGAGGCATCCTGGTCTTGCTTTCGCACCAACCAACACGGGCAGCGAAGCCAACAGACGGCCAAGGCATGCCAAGGCGGCCACATCACCGGCCCACGCAAAGACGCAAAGGATGCCAAAAAAATCCAGCTTTGACAAACACATAACGGTTGCCTTGAAAGCCTTAACCGTTAAAATTGAGATCCGGGGGCAGGGGGAAGCTTGCGGCAAAAGCCGCACAAACCACGCCACACAAGGAGCCAAAGCCTCCAAAAGACTCCAAAAGAAACTCCTCCCTTGCCCCTTCTCAGACAGGCTCCGGCCACACCGCACGCTGCCAGCTCAGCATGGCATGCTGTGTTGGTGTGGGGGTCTGGTGGCTTTGGTGGGTGGTGGTGAAATGGAGGCGAGTAAAGAATAGTGAAACAGAGAGGAGAGATGTGGGGGAAGGGTGATTCGAAAAGAGTGTGAGCATAACTCCCAAAAACAAAACTCCGTGAGAATCGAAGTTCATATCCAGCCCCTGTCGTATTTCTAACTTCTACGTACGAAGTCGGTACATTTTGCCACGGCGTCCTTGAGCTCTGGAATGTCCAGCTTGGCTTTACAGGCAGCAATGGTGGGCGGATGGGCTGTCATGCCCAATGGATCGAAGGTCGAGATCCGATCCCAATCCCTTTGAGTAGTCGGATCATCGATGAGCTCCTTGAACTCGGGAAGGTAGAACTCGGCTTCTGTTCGCGTCTTGTACCACTCTTTCAAGTCCACACCTGCCTTTGCTTCGGAGATGCCCCAGTAGGCGGCATGGTCCCAACCATAGCATCCGGCATAAACGCCCGCCTCAAGGTCATGATGAACATCCCTCCAGCTGTAGCCTGTTGCCGGATCATTGCGGCAGATCTGTGGAACCAAGCCGCGGCAGATCTGTGGAACCAAGCCCTGCCGAGGCGTGTTGCATCCACAGGCACCGCATTCTTGGCCAGGGCACAGATGTGCGGACCTGAGAACAATCGGAAAAACTCAAGTTGAGTGAAGTTTTGAGTCAAGGTCTGTGTCAAGTGTTCAGAGTGCGGTGAACTCAGGTCGCTGCAGCCGCGCGGCACGTTGGTGTGGGCGGTTTGGCCGGGACATGTCCACTAAGAAGGGGGGAATTTTGGACAACTCACTGAAACTGTCTCTGAACCTTCACATTTCCATCATGTGCGCAGAAGCCGGTGACAACTAGCAAGCAGAAACAACGGTCGGACAAGGATTGGCAGCTTCGCCTTTGCACGATCTTCCACTGTCAACGGCGAGTGGTTGGCCTGCAAGGCCTTGAACAAGTTCCTTGATCGCAGAGCGTGGCACATGGCAGCAATCCCGAGTAATTACTACGTCGACACACAAAAGCTTGGCTTGTGGCTCCTTGCCCTCGAAGGGCAGCAGCCATCCTTTCAGCCCAGCATCCCAGCGACCATCTACCTGGCACTTTAGCTACTGCTGCCACATGCCTTCTGCCAGGCAGGCACACGCCTGCTGTCACAGCCTAGATCCCCGCATGTCCCCAACACCCACCTCCTTGAGCAGCGCTCGTGCGGCGTACGTCTCGCCTGTGCAGACTGCAGACTGCAGTGCATCTTCGTTCGTTCAAAGATCCTTCTCAAAGGCCTGTCACCAGCAGCCCACGCGAGTGGAAGTCGAAGCGCAACATTCTATAGGAAGCATAGGACAACGATGGGCTTGCTGATTGGCTTACCATGCACTGAGTATCAGGCCAGGAGTCGATGCACATGCTGCTCTACATTCACAGAATGAACAAAGAATCGCCACTTTGCACCAAATACTAAATCAGGCATGAGGCATGAGCCGTGTTGATGCGAGCACTGCAACATTCCAAGGAAGCCAGTCAGAATTCCATACAATTGGCCGGCAGCACACGCTCCCTGTGATGGACAAGCGGTGCCTGTCATGGCCACACTCAAGCCGGCAGAGGACGAGTGAGCACTAGATCATCCCAAGACAGCCAGTCCGTAACTCCATGCAATCGGCCGGCAGCGCACGCTCCCTGGAGTAGACAAGCGGTGCCTGGCATGATTGGGCGTGTGAATAGGACACGGGCACATGCAGCATACTGCATACCGACTGCAGCTACCATGATGGACACAAAAAACCCCTTTGCAAGATGTTAGAACAACCAAAATCTGCATGACAGCTACCTTGCGTGCATCGCAAAGCCATCCAACTGGCCGGCAGTGCGTGCTCCCTGCTGTGGATAGGCGGTGCCTGCCACCCACGCTAGCGAAAGTCGCGGAAGCATGGGATGATCATCGATTTTGCTGGTTGGCAGGGCATGCGTTAACGGCGCAACATGTTACATGTTCCAGGCCCAAAATGAACGTAAGGTTTTAATCCGCGAAGTCTCAGGACTGGCGTCTGACCGCCCCTGGGCTAGACTGACTGGGCCCCTTATCACTTGAAATACTGTCCTGGTCAATACTCGACTCAGCATGCATGTTGTCAAACTAGCTTGATATAACATCATGTTGACATTGCTGTTTATTGTTTGCACTTGCTCTGTTTCGACCTGTACTTGCGCATACTTACGCATTCACACATACGACTACGTGCGCGCACTTTTCTCGAACTTCTAGGACTCCACATGGGCCTGCTCACGACTCCAGCCCGAGCGGAGGCGAGGGATGTTGTACATTGCGAAAACCATCAAGAACTTAGAATTCCACGACATCAACGGACTTTGCATGAAGCGTGATTACTTTTCATGAACTCCTAAATGCACAAGCAGGTGTAGTCTGTTGACAAGCATGCAGTCTGGGACTGGGACTGCTGTTGGGTGCCAATGGTGCTAGAATGTCATCACGTACTGCGATCTGATTGCCGCCCTGAGAAGATGATATGTGTCAGACGCTTTGCTTCATATCACCTAATTCTCTGAAGGTCAATGAACAGCTCTTGCACTCACAGGCTGCTACCTGGCTGCGATTGTTGAAATTGTGGGGAAGCTGCGCTCCCTCGACTTTCCTCTTGCCTTTGGTCGTTGCTGTGTCTCATGGCTTTGAAGTGCAAAGACTGTGTACTGAAGCTCGGAAGTTTCTCGTGAACACATATTTGAGCATTGAGTATACCGTAGACAAATTTCCGAGAGGCAGTTGCGATTGAGACCGTGCGAAGATATTCTTGGCAGTAAATGCTTCCTTCCTTTAAACGCGGTGATTCGTTCAGACATCCATGCCTTGGACATCCAATCTCTGAAACTTGCAAGAGCTACCAAAGACACAATCTGCAACCTGCTGATAAAGTAGGTTTGGCCTCCTACGCTCGTCGAAGCGTGCTGCGGTCCGACAAGCTGGATCATCCCCAAAGCAACCATGCAATCAGTAGAATCAGTAGGCAGCCACCGCAAGTCGGGAGTAACTGGCCGGCAGCGCCCCCCTCCCGTGGACCGGAAAATCAGGCCCTGCAGGTGACATGACGTGATATGGCCCTGTCGGAGGACATGTATGACTATGCAGTAATGCATGGGCTGTATAACCAACCATGCTTTCCAGCCTCGTCCGCTACCAAAGTCCGTCTCACACCCAGCTGTTGTCTCATCGCGTGCAAGGTTTTCCTCACCAACATGCTAGCTGAAGAGATCAAACACCCAGGACTCAAAAGAAACGCATCTTTTGGAGAATCAAGTCAGTGTCAAAGAGCGCCTGGAACCCGGCGGAGACTCCTTGACGGCATCTGCCAAAGGCATCGTCTTGACACCCTGACTCGAGGCGAAGAAGCCAGCATGAGGACCTCCACAACTTGTCACAACTTCAAGGTTCTTTCACGCAGCACGGCAACGGCAGCGCCTCGAGTCTGCCTTGGCTCACAACGCAACGCCATAGTGCCATAGCCCCATGAATGGCCCATGCATTCATTCCACATCATTCCGCTCAGCGGCAGCAACTTCGTGGTTGATACACTGCCACTGCTCCACTCAAGGCTTACATGAGTCTGATCGATTTCCCCTTGCTTTAAGTGCTTGCGGGGTTTGTGTTTGGCAAGACACGCAAGACACTTCTCTAGGTCGTATAGAACAATGTGTGAAGCCGCCACTGACCCAAGAACCGGAGCAGAAAGGGGTGACATGCGGTGTCGCTGCGAAACAAAAATAACAACGGATGGAGAAAGAGGAAGGAGAATGAAGGAGCATGGAGTTGCCAAGGCTTGGTTGTAGGTGGTACGGGCCTCTGATCGCTGGCCTTGAGAATCATGGATGTGCTGGGTCTTTTGCTGCTTTTGCTGGGCACAACCAGGCTCACACGACCAGACCACCGCCATGTTGGGATCTGATGGCAACCTAACTTCGGTCGATACCTCTGGGAGGCACGATGGGAAGCAGAATAACACAGAAGCAGTGTAAGCCGAGCGCGAGAAGAGTCGAAGTGGAACGAAGCTTCTCTGGAGGAGAACGTTCTGCAGGGCTGTGGCTATGGCGGCTATGGCATCATTGACAGCATGGTCGCGGTCAAGGGAGCATGGTCACAACGAAAGAACTTGTTCGACTCTGCTTCATCACCAGCACCACAGGTTCCCGCAGGAGGAGTGAGGCATCAGTGAACATGTCCAGGATGGTGAATGAAAAAGCGCTGCAGAGAAATCCGCAATTCATCGATAGGGCATGTGACATGGAATGGCTCGAAAGCGGAGAAACCAAGGGAAGTGAAGGGCAAAGAAAGGATGTTGAGAATGCAATGCTGCTCCTGAGAGAACAAAGGAGAAACCTTTGACAACGTTACGAAAAGCATCGCAGGTTCTTGCGCACACACACACACACACACCAAACGAACTTCCCACGGGGAAGCTGGGAATCGTCGATTGCAGACGAGGCGGAATGCAAGAAAAGATGCAGCTCCACCGCCCTGAGGAGAAGAAATCGCCTTCTACGTAACAGCGAGCGTGAACTCCTCGTGAGGCTCATCTCCGGGAACTGTATGAACTCATAATGCTGATTTCTGCTCTGGCTCTAGCCTTCAGCATCCACAAAACAGTAAGGCTGAACAAAGTCAGTTCAATTCACAATGCCTCGTGAACATTACATATGTTGCTCTAGTTTCTGGGTGGGGTTCGAAACAGTTCCTTGGGTCACTACATATTGTGAAGTTGTGGTTTCTGCGCTGTTGTGTCAATGGTCAAGGTATTCGCGTTCTCTAGATTCACGCACTCCGTTCATACTTTCAGTTCGTTTGCAATTTAGTTCACTTGTTCTCTTCACCTCTTCTCACATGTAATTCATACGGGACGGGCACCAATCAGTGAACACAATAATAATATTCTCTTTGCGCTCATTTCATACGCACATTTACAACATTCATATCTTCATTCTGTTCATTTTGGAAAACCACTACAATTAATTCCTTGCATTACATAAATGAAAATACTTTTCGTAGGGGAAGCATGAGCACGTGCACGATCATAATCATGAAGGAGGTAACGGTGAGATTGGTGTTTGCGTGTTCACTTCCCGTAGTACCATGTAAACACAAGTATTAAGTTCTCTAGCTCCAGCTTTTAATAGTGCAAACGGGGCATTTTGTAGAATCCTTTTCGCCCAATTAATAACATAAAAATTACATCACCGAAGACCCCAAACAGTCAAAGGCACGCCAAAGAGACAGTGGAGACGACGGGAGACAAAGGGAGACGAAGGGAGACAAAGGGAGACAAAGGGAGGCGAGGAGCACAGCAACCCGGCAAAGCCACCCACATGAAGGGAGACAAAGGGAGACAAAGGGAGACAAAGGGAGACGAAGGGAGACAAAGGGATACAAAGGGAGGCGAGGAGCACAGCAACCCGGCAAAGCCACCCACATGAAGGGAGACAAAGGGAGACAAAGGGAGACAAAGGGAGACAAAGGGAGACAAAGGAAGACAAAGGGAGACAAAGGGAGACAAAGGGAGACAAAGGGAGAGAAAGGGAGACAAGGGAGACAAAGGGAGACAAAGGGAGACAAAGGGAGACAAAGGGAGACAAAGGGAGACAAAGGGAGACAAAGGGAGACAAAGGGAGACAAAGGGAGACAAAGGGAGACAAAGGGAGACAAGGAGCCCAGGAACCCGGCACCAGTCCTCAGAATGTCGGCAATCCTTAAATGAGTTTAGAACCCCAACAGTAGACTGTTTGGGGAATAATAAGATTTCCAAAGATGCAAGCAAAAAGTAGTTCACAGGCCGCATTCGTTGCCTTCATGTCTTTCTTTATTATACTGTAGCTCCTAACGGTGATATATTAACGGGGCGAAAGGGTATACTTGAAGAGCCCCGGAACCACCTGCTAAGATTCATTAAACTAGCTGGTTTCTTCACTGGCCTTGGGCTT